AAAGGTTAATATATATTTAATATATACAGGCTGCCCTATGTAAAACTGACTCCAATTATAGATTGAATAAATTATTGTAATTATTATATTTTATAAGAAAGGAATAAATAAAATAAAACAAAGAAACTCTTCAATCTTAGTTTCATTCATAAAACATAAATCATTTAACCAACACTTCTCTATTTAAGGCAGCCTGTTTTACGTGGGGCACCTTGTATTATACTTGGCAGATTTGAAATCAGTTATAATACAATGCCACTTCACGCCAATGTTTATTATATGATTATAACACCATAACATGTAAGTGTTATAATCATATTGAAATCAGTTTTATGCTGTTTACTATGGTACTTGCTGTATGTTCTATTTTATTATTTATTAAAAATGATGTGATAAAGCATTCATTTTAAATACATTAATTTTAGTTACCAGCAATTTACAGCACTTGAATAGTGATAATATATTTAAAATATTAATTTTTCGATGAAACTTTTTCCTCTCTCTCTTTTTTTCNGGAAGATTGTCAGTTTTGGTATTGTTCTTATGGTCTTGTCTATTTAAGTTTCAACAATATATTACTGTAAAACCTCATTTTCTTTTGTAGATAAGACATATTTGTGAAAATTATTTCAGGTAAATTATATTTAATAAATGTGATTTTACATACATAAAGTGAACATATTTTATTTTAATTTAATTTAAAAACTCATGCCAATATTTGTATAATTTATGGATACAAATTCACTGAGTTCAGCGTTAATAAAGTTCCTTTAGTATTAACACAAGCACTTTCGACAAGTGTATAATCATCGTCTTCAGGTGAAAAGAACAAATTTTAACAAGACAACGTGCAAGATGTTTCAAAGGAACAAAATATTTAAAATTCAAATAGGCATCCGGAAATTCTGTTAAGAACGTGCAGATAATTTTTGATATGTTCGAAACTTTATATTTTACGATGCCAGCGGCGCATGCATGGAATAATAAGTTTCCTTTAAGTACAGTTTAAAATTTCTTTCTTTTTAACTTTTGAATAATATTCCTTATGTGAACTTAAAAATTTTAGAAAGATTAATAGCAATACAATATTATGTTTAGTATCATGCTATAGAACTGTTAATGTATTTTAAGCATGGACAATTTTTTGGTAGGTTAAATAAAATATTTGTAATGTATATGGGTCAAATTTTTTTGCTTACTATGATTTATACAGACTAATTTCTAGAGTAAATTATGCCAGACTGCTGTACAAAATACCAATGATTACCAAGAAAATTTAAGCAACAAGGAAAATTATGTTTAATTAATGCAAGTGTTTTCAGTCATTTTAAAAGACCATTTGTAAATTCAAGACCTAAAAGCTGGGTCCTAGAAGTCTTTGGCATTCTTCAGTTGGGTTTCTAATATATATTTTCCAATTTATATTTCTAGATAATTTGCATTAGAAGGTCTTTAGAGGAGTGCTATATTACATCAGAATCAGTCTCTCAGTTATGTCCAAAATATGGAGGGAGAACTTTTGCCTTTTTTAGTGAATGTAAACTTTTGGACTAACATACTTATCTTTTACAGACTATAACCATGATAAACTGCAATATCCCTGATGTATTTTAACTCCATTAAGAATTCATTAACTTTTGAGGCATGGGCTCTTCTAATGAGATTTTTGAATACTGCTGTATATAAACCTTAACTTTTATCTGTCCATCTTGTAAGAGTAAGTGGATGTTCAGGAAATGCACTTCCTTTTGGCTTCCCTGCTCTTGGTAACAGATATCTTGTATGTGTTGTCATTGAATGCTGATGTAAGTGCATCATAATCATAAATTTTTGAGGACCATATAATGAGAATGATGATATTGTTATTACATGGTCCTTAAAAATGAACATTATTTAAAGATATTTACAAAAGATAATATAATTTAAAAGATGTTTATAATAAATAAAAAAATAAATGTTTATTNAAATACCTAGACATATTTTTTTGTTTGATTCATTATAATTAACCAAAAAAGATTATTTGGATTAAACTGACTATATATATATAACTTGAATATACAGCATCCATATTACATTATTTTATATTTATAAAATATAGGTGTATTGTACAAATACATTTCTGTCTACTGAGTTTCATAGTCAGAAAGTAAAGAATCTTTAACATTTGGCAACAGTAACATCTGAATAATTACGAGGGCTATTTTTAAACAAGGTCCATTTTTTAATAAGAAGAAAAATACTGTAAATATCATTAAAATATATTTTTTCCCATATTCTACATACTTTTATCTACTTTTCTACATAATTTCAATTTTTGTTCAAACATTTGTCATACCCTCAAAAATTTTTTAAATTATGACTTCAAAGAAATCTGCCGTCTACCGCCAGAAGACATTAGGGGTTGCTTGTCTTGTATGGCATGGAGGAGTTTTCTCAAGGTTACACAATAAGCATCAGAATTGATTGTTGTGCCTCTTGACTTAGAATCCACTAACAAAGTCCCTTTCCTGTCCCAAAAGACAGTTACCATGATCTTTCTTGCTAAAATCGAATAACAGATCGTATCTTACAGTCAGTGGGTGACTCAGTTTTCTTAAACATTATAAACTTCTACAGCTCAGCACATGGACAGATGATACAGCTGCAAATGGCATCTAAACACACGCAAAGCATACTGAAAGCAGATGCTTGTGCACACTGCTGCAATCGCGCACCATTCTCATTCACAAACGGACTTATTTAAAAAATAGCCCTTGTATCTATATGTGTTTTCCAGCATAACAGATGACTCTGCTTAAACTTAGCTTTATAGGAAACCATCTGCTGGACATCTTTCACTGTTTGTTGTAGTTCAAAGTGGNATTAAAAAAATTAAAAAACCATTGGAGGTCGTTTTTGACATCAGAAACTAACTTTAAATAACTTTACCGAATGAAAATCCGTGCGCTACAACTTAGGAACCATGAAATAAAATTGATAAAAAACTCCCATTAAAAAACAATTAAGCCTTAATCGAGCCTTCACATAGGCTCATTAAAATCGCGATAAAATTTTTTTGCGCGGGAAAAAATTTTGAAAAAATTTGGGGACCTAAAAACATTCCAAAAATTCAAAAAAAAATTTTTTTTTCAAAAATGGCCTTAAGGACCACATTTTTCGTAACGCTATGTAGGCTTGACGTATATATACGTCAATGGAGACTGAGGGGTTAAGATCACACAAGAAGCATCAGAATTGATTGTTGTGCCTCTTGGCATAAAATCCATTAACAAAGTTCCTTTCCTGTCCCAAAAGACAGTTACCATGATCTTTTGTAACAGATTGTATCTTACAGTTGGCGGGCGACTCAATTTCCTTAAACATTATAAACTTCTACAGTTCAACACACAGACAGATGATACGGCTGCAAATGGCATCTAAACACGCACAAAGCATGCTGAAAGCAGATGCTCATGCACACTGCTGCAATTGCACGTCATTCTCGCTCTCATTCACAAACAGACCTTATTTAAAAAATAGTCTTTGTATTTACTGTTTGTCCATCCCTATTTCACTCCAACTGAAAAAATTACTTTCTCTTACAGTCAGCACTTATACACTGTACAAGTGCTGACTGTAAGAGAAAGTAAGTCAGTATACTGTACAACACTGAACAATAAGTTTAAGACTGTTGACATGTACATTAAAAACTAGAAATTCTTTAATTGCTCTTTCTTCTCTGTGGGTATTAAGAAACTTTTTTACAAACCCATTGTGGGTGGTGAGGGATGGGGCCAGACATATCCAAGATAGACTACTCTCAAAAAAATCCTGGGTTATCAACCCATAAAGATTAAATTCCTGGTTCCTCAGAACAGTAGGCTGATGTCTTGTCTATTTCTTCTTAAATAATAACTATTTTGCAAAACTATTTTTGATTAAAAATATATGTAGTTTTACAAAATAGTTCATATTATTAATTGTTTTTAATAACAGAAATAATAAAAGAACTGAATTATAATATGTTTGTAATTTTTAAATTTAAAACATACCACTTCTATATAAGTCCAAACAAATAAGTTAGTTTAAAATTTGTGAATTTTTATGAATATCTAGCTTCTGGATATAATTTGGTGGCTAGATTGTTATACTAACTCTACTAACTCTAGCCAATATCAAAAAATAAGCATTGATTCTTTCTTTAAGTCATTGTATCTCAATAAAGCATATTTTTGAAGTAACACATAACTTTATTTGTTTATTTTCTAAACACTCAAACAAGGTAAAACATAGTGAAATAGCTAGGGTTTGACTGTATTAACCATATTATTGGAAAATAACATAACAGAGAAAAATCTTAATCATTTTGTCAATAAGTTATAATACAACTGATTTTTTAATCAATTTCAGCTGACCAGCACAGATTGGCTAAAGCATTTTTACTTAAATTTACACTTGTTTTCTTTATATAAGTGATGTCATATTTATTTATTTATATAAAATTTTACAAATTATAAAATTTATTTGTAAAATTCAATTAAAAACTTATTTTTATATTTATTAAATTCACAAGTATTTTCAATAAAACTATCAGTTATAATTTTTTTGCTTATATCAAGTCCACTTCTCATTTATCTGTGAGACTCAGCACTACATAATTTATTTACATAAGTAAATCATAACATAACATTTTGACAATAAAATTTTGTCAGATAACTGTCAACTTTCACACCTGGGAGTTAATTATTGTTAAGTTCTCAGTAGCAAAAGTGAAGCTTTCTCATAACCTCCGGACTTATTGTCTCCATTTCACCAGTTGGATAGCAAGGAGGTGCAAGTTTAGTCAGTTGTCACCCATTCCTCTTGGATTAAAGTCTCCAACATATTCTCTGTGCCTGTACCAAATTTTCCTAGATCTGATTTCATCCTTGACCAACAGTGCCGGTGAGGATGAATCTTTCTCGACTATCGTGACTCAGACTTTCCCGATTTGGAATTTTCTGCAAATCTTCTAGAATGATAATGGACTGCTAGTCTCGACAAAAATTGCAACAAATCTTCATCACCATGTGGACATCCCCTACTTCAGGTATTTATCAACTCGCAAACCATTTTAAACACTTTCTCTTTCGAGAACCGCAAAAATACCTAGACATATTTTTTTGTTTGATTCATTATAACTCGTTAACAATAAAATGCATAAAATGTGTAAATTCTCCTTTACAAATAAACAGTTGTTTCGTTAACTTAGTCTCTGCGTGAGTTACTTCCTGCTTGCTAACTCATGATCTCCATCCCGAATCCGATCACCCATGCAAGCAGCTGCTTGCGTGACAAAATCAACACACTGTCTCGATTTCCGTGTCAATCGGGACACGGTGGTGTCAGTCCTGACAAGGCACTAAGGAGGTGCCTTGTCAGGTCACATATATTAATTAGGTCACATATTATATTAATTAGGACACAAAATGAGCAGCAGTTGGGGTGTAAGAAATAAATTTCTAAAACTTAAGATATCACAGATAAAAAGTAAATATTGTAACTAATTAAACAGAATTGTAAATAAAAATTCTCTTGTATGAGAGCTTCTTATGTGAGATGATATAAAAAATTATGTTTACATACTATTTTGATATAAAGCAAATAAACTATATTCAATATCTTTATCAGCTATTTGAATATGAATGTTTTAAGTTTGTATTTCACTTAATTAGGCTAGATTGGCAAAGTTATTTTTGAGTTGGCCAGATGGCCAGGCGATTATGACATCAGCCTTCCACTCTGGGTGATCTGGGACTGAATCCAAGTGAGCCAAGTCATTAAAAAAGTTATTTTTGACAACTGTTGATAAAAATTCATGAAGTCATAAACTATAAATTTTATATTTTAAAAATTAATCAGTATGTCAAAAAGTTCTGAAAATTATTTTCCTGGAAACATGGATATTTATTACATTGTTTTTAAATTTATTCATAGTGTGATTAGACTTTAAAGTTAAATAATGAACAACAGCTATTTCAAATAGAACTAAGATGGAATATATAATACAGTATTTATAAGGTTTCAATTTTATTATTTTGTAAAACATGTAATAATGCCTTTTTATGATTTTGTTTTGTTTTTTAATATGTCTTTGTTTTTATATATTATGCTTTGAACTATACACATTCACACAAATAAGTCTATTTAATCTAAATAATTATTATATAATTATAAATTATATTTCTTTCAAAGATTAAAAAACAAGCAAAGTTAATCTAAGAAAAGTTTTCCTTGTCAAAATGATAAAATTCTAGAATCGTGTTGTTAATAAAATATAACGTATAGAATTTGTATATATTATATTAAAATTACTAATTTATTTTGAAATAGATTATTTTGATTTTTTCATACATTCTTTGTAATTAAAACTAAAATGGCAATATTCAGTAAAATTAAAAATCACAGTCAAAATAATTATGCATAAATCATGCCCAACTTATAATAATAAAGAAATGATACCTCTAGATTTTAATTATGTTATAACATGGCTAATAAACTATAAAGAATTAAATTAATTTTTAAAAATAATTATTTATTTCTAATTATTAAATTTAACATGGGATGGCAACATAACCGCTTAGCTTTAGTCCAAATTATATATCTATATAATTTATTAGCCATATTATAATCTGATTAAAATCTGGCATAATTACTTGTTTATTACCTACTCCAAATAAAAGTGGTTTTAAATTATTATTACACAAAACTTATATTTATATATATATATAATAAAAAGGTAAGCCAAGTTTTCTATGTTACATAATAAAATTACACATAGAAATTTTACAATATTTGTTTTTTTTAATAAATTTAAATTGACCAATAATAATAATTCCTATAGCTATGCTTTGACCTTGGTTTGACGTAGCACTAGGCATCAGCATAAGCTGAGTGAGATACATTTCACCATCACACTAATAATAGTAATAATAGTTCTTAAAATTTTCATTCTAAGTTATTTTATTAATTAATTCAAAATATTTTAGTTTTTTTATCTTCTGTTATACAGAAGCAATATTTATTAAATATTTTTATAATTATAGTTATATATTTGAAATTTAAATAACAAATTTAAATTTAAATTTTTATTATTATTTCATAATCAGAGAAGGCAGAATATGTTCCTAGATACTGAAGCCGCCAGTTCAATCACATCCACAGATCATTTGTCTCCACCTTCCACTATTTCCCGCCTCTCAGATAGTGACATATCAGAATTTGATTTTGGTATGTATTAAAGAAATATATATTTATGTAATTTTCTGAATGTCATTTTCTAAACAGTACTTTACAAAATAAACTCAATAAGTGAAAAAAGAATATTATAGTCAAACCTCCAATAACTGGTCACCCAAATAAATGTTCACTTCAGATTAGTAGTCATAATTTTCCAATTCCTTTAATCTTTTATAGATATTATTGAGTACTCTTTCATTAATTCCAAATGATTTGCCAGATTTTTAATTGGGCTATCTAATAATCAGATCAAAGCAATTTGAATAAAGATAATAGGTTAAGTTGTTATCTCATGGTTAATTTAATAATTAGAAATAAATTAATTTTTAATTTAGAATATTCTGGGAATATCTGGTTTTAATATAGCTGATATAGCTGATAAAAAAAAATGGTAAATTGTTTGGTACAAGTGTATCAAGTTATTGTATATGTTCTCATTAATTCATTATTAGATTGATCCATAAATTCACTGTACTGGTTAGATTTATTTTTGTTCGCAAAGCATAAAGTCTGATTTTTAGAGTAAAAAACCAGATAATGTTTATTTTTATAAGTTGTATTTTGTATGTTTATTTTTCATTAAAAAAGACATGATACATGTAATTTTTACATATTAAATTTGACTAGTTTGACAAATATTAAGATATTTGTCAAACTAGTCAAATTTAATATGAATTATAGTAGTTTATGAAATAGTATAAATTTAACACTTGTTTTGGTTAATTTTTTTAATAAAAACACCTGACAACTATTCTTTTACTAAAATGTGACATGTTCATAATGTGACAACTTGCATGATTCTCTGTTTAAAAATGTCTCTGAAATGAAAATTCCAATTATTGTCTTTGAAAGAAAAAATATTCATCTTTGTAGGAAATCTAACTGTACAAAGACAGCTTTTAGAAAACAAGAAATTTTCAGACACAATGAACAATACTCTCAAAAAAACAAAATTCAAAATTGTCTATTTCAAACATAAGGGGAAAAAAGATAAAAGACTGCATAATTGAACACTTTAAGTTGTTGAAGAAGTTCTTATCTTGTTAACATGTGCAAGATCTGAAAACAGAATGTGATAGAACATAACAAAAAGAAAGATATGGTAGTTATAAAAGAATATAAATATAGAAAGTTTGAAGCCAGTAAGAGATGGATTGAATATTTCAAAGATGGGTCTCTCCTTTAAAAAGTAAGTGGAGAAAAAGAAGCAGCTAATAGTAATACAATGGAAGACTGAAATGAAACAACACTAAAAGATATCTTGACTCAGTAATCAGAATGCAATGCATTTAACTTGGATGAAACAGATCTACGTTGTTTTTTACTTAATAAAAACCATAAAATTTAAAAATGAAAAATGCATAACAGGGAAGTTGAGTAAGCATGGTTTAATAACTTTGCTTGATGCAAACACAAATAGCACAAAAGAATTTAAATTGCTAATGATTGGTAAAAGTAAAACACCAAGATGTTTCAAAAAATGTCTGGTTGCTACTAGCTACATACAAAGCAAATTTTCAAATTCATGAATGTCTTTCAACACTGAAAATAACATATTTGTAATTTTTTATAAAGAAATCTTGTATCAGAATAGAAGTCATTTTTAAGTAAAAATAAATTTAAAAACTCATGCCAATATTTGTATAATTTATGGATACAAATTCACTGAGTTCAGCGTTAATAAAGTTCCTTTAGTATTAACACAAGCACTTTCGACAAGTGTATAATCATCGTCTTCAGGTGAAAAGAACAAATTTTAACAAGACAACGTGCAAGATGTTCCAAAGGAACAAAATATTTAAAATTCAAATAGGCATCCGGAAATTCTGTTAAGAACGTGCAGATAATTTTTGATATGTTCGAAACTTTATATTTTACGATGCTAGCGGCGCATGCGTGGAAATGCTACCACGTTGGCGATACAATGTTAGGCGCTTTTCGTTTTTTTAGGCGCCGATATAAGGCAATCCACACCCCGGGTAGATCGAGGGTGGGAACATTGCACGCTTCTGAAGTAGCCGTGAAAAGTGCTTCCCAGATAAACACAAGCCTTCGATTGTTGCAGCATTTGATTATTTCCGTTCTGGGCCATAATGGGTTGTAGCCTTGCTCAAGAACTTTTTAGCGAGCTTTGTAGAACATCTATCTTCCTTTGGCTACGTCATCCTGATGCTCAGCAAGGCGGGAGCGAGCATTCTTGTTGTTGTTCCTATGTATCTTGTAATATTTCCCGTTACCAGATTTTCTAGTTGTATCGTGTAAACCCCTGACTTTTCTAAAGTAGTTAGCCTGTCCTGATCGTTGCAGATACATCTATGTAGGTTTGGTAGGGGGTTATGGGTAGTATGAAATTATATCACCGAAATATGCGTCAATGGTTAATGAGCTCATCACGAACACAAAGAAGGCTGGTAACAACTACTCTGTATTATAATTATACGGAAGAGGACATGCCCGTCAAAGTGCACGGCATACTACAAAGGGGACCCAAATATATCTCCCCTCCTAATAATACTGACCTCAACCAGTTAGTCCCAGTGGCGTTTGCAGCATTGAAATCCTGCCAGGTAGCAGCCACGTACTCATAAATGGAGTTAGAAATCGTCACGAAGCTTGCGGTGGTGAAGCAAGTGTCCAGCGCGCCTAAGCACCACGTAAACCACCAAGCAGTAAAGCAATTCCTAGCTATGTATAACTTGAGGCTTCTGATCTCTGATAAGGACAAACGATTCGTTCTGTGCAAGGAGGACAATTTCATCTTTAGAGCCAATGAGTTCCTATCACAATCACAATCACAGATAATAAATGATGATCCAACACCAACAGTACTGTGAAAGACAAAGAAAATAATAGCTTTACCAGGAGTAGCTTCGACTCTAACTGATCCTCCCACCAACGTAGCATGCCCTAGGCTATTCTTTCAGCTAAAAACACACAAAGCAAACTGGCCGTTACGCCCACTGGTAAACATCCTACATATTTCCTTGAAAAGACGCTTGCAAAGTTTTTGCGTGAACTTATTTCGGAATCACCATATGTTACCCCATTGTCTATAGCTGCCAAGTCCACCATTGCTTCCAGTATGAGGGGTACACATGAAGATTCCTATACTTTCTGCAAATTGGATGTGGTGTCCTTATATCCGCCATTGCTGCGAGCCGCCATTGCTGCGCTCGTTAGAAGAGCATTACTGCTTCTGTCGACACAGCTAGCAACAAAAATAGAATTAGACATCATTAGAGTAATAGTATCTCTTGCAGGATTTACATATGCCAAATATAAACATGTGCTCCGTAAAGTAAAAGAGGCCCTACACCCATGTACCACGCTGTACAGAAAGGAAAAAGCATCCGTGATCCAGTCATTGTTGCCGTATCTTGGACCAACCTCTATATGTATCAGCTGCATATTTCAGCGATATAATTTCATACTACCCATAACCCCCTACCAAACCTACATAGATGTATCTGCAACGATCAGGACAGGCTAACTACTTTAGAAAAGTCAGGGGTTTACACGATACAACTAGAAAATCTGGTAACGGGAAATATTACAAGATACATAGGAGCAACAACAAGAATGCTCGCTCCCGCCTTGCTGAGCATCAGGATGACGTAGCCAAAGGAAGATAGATGTTCTACAAAGCTCGCTAAAAAGTTCTTGAGCAAGGCTACAACCCATTATGGCCCAGAACGGAAATAATCAAATGCTGCAACAATCGAAGGCTTGTGTTTNCAAGAATGCTCGCTCCCGCCTTGCTGAGCATCAGGATGACGTAGCCAAAGGAAGATAGATGTTCTACAAAGCTCGCTAAAAAGTTCTTGAGCAAGGCTACAACCCATTATGGCCCAGAACGGAAATAATCAAATGCTGCAACAATCGAAGGCTTGTGTTTATCTGGGAAGCACTTTTCACGGCTACTTCAGAAGCGTGCAATGTTCCCACCCTCGATCTACCCGGGGTGTGGATTGCCTTATATCGGCGCCTAAAAAAACGAAAAGCGCCTAACATTGTATCGCCAACGTGGTAGCATTTCCACGCATGCGCCGCTAGCATCGTAAAATATAAAGTTTCGAACATATCAAAAATTATCTGCACGTTCTTAACAGAATTTCCGGATGCCTGTTTGAATTTTAAATATTTTGTTCCTTTGGAACATCTTGCACGTTGTCTTGTTAAAATTTGTTCTTTTCACCTAAAGACGATGATTATACACTTGTCGAAAGTGCTTGTGTTAATACTAAAGGAACTTTATTAACGCTGAACTCAGTGAATTTGTATCCATAAGTCATTTTTATTATTGTACTGTTCACATGATTGGAAAATTCAAAGGCCATTGAATTAATTTTTCTGCCTTTGAATATAATGACACTTGTTTAACTATTTGATTGAGGAGTTACTTGAAATTTTAAATTAAATTAAATTGTCATCACACCTATGATCTTTTAGCGGGATGATATACATGCTATCGGGAGTATATGTCATCCCGCTGAAAGATCATAGGTGTGACGAGGATTTAATATACATTGGCTCCACTAAGCGCTCATTAGGAGTGAGAATAAAGGAACACAAGGCTTACATACAGCACAAGAGAGTAACAACCGCTCTAGTTCGTTATGCTACAGATCCTGGTATCCATCCAATATTTAAGGAAGCCAAGATCGTCCACATCACGCCTCATATGGAGCATTTACGATGGATGGAGGCAATTTATATATACAGAGCTGGCCAAGACAACAGATGTATTAACAATGAAGACAAATTATCCCTATCCCTAGCATGGCAAATGCTTATATATGACGGACAAAATCTAAATAAATAAAAATTTTTGCTTTCGAGGAATGCGCATGCCTGTTGATGATGACAGCCGCAGGAATCATCGTTCGATTTGATAATTGAGACTCTCAAATTTTTATGTTTTCCATCAAATAATTTGTACAATTTTCGTTTTTCACCTGATGAAGAACCTTAAGTCGGTTTGAAAACGTTTG